GTCGGACAGTCTGTTTCCATGCTGTATGACTATGACTCTATGATTGCATGCTGGTGAGCCAGAGCATGACCAATTTCTGCTAGAGACAGATCATTCAAATAATTAGAGAGCAATTAGCTTAACATTAATGATAATAAATGTATGAAACATGATGATTGAGAATGATGCCTGCTCGGAGGAAAAGCAAGTATAAAGACTTTCATTAACCACAGCTCTTTCATTTGAACAACGTAGACTATGAGAAGGTACAACAGAATTCTTTAACGTTATGAAAGAACGGAAGACGTACATAGGAACTTATTGCTCAAAATCAAACCTAATTGCCAAAGTCACATAATATTTTTGTTTGTAAAATTGAACCTCAACTATTAAAGCAGTGCCAGCACAGATACAAAATAGCAAAGGGATGAAAGCATGAGTTTTGGGGAGGACGTAAAGAGATTCACCAGAATTATGCTAGGGATAAGGAGAGTAAGCATGTGAAGAGCAATCAGAGAAGTTAAAGGGAAGATTTAAAATTGATGAGGGCTTTATTTGAGTGGAGTAAACAATGTCAGTGTCAAAAAATATGTATTACACTGACTTTTAGTTCTTAGCTTTGACGTAACTTCTGGGATTAAAACAGAAAGAAACATAAAACACAATAATTCTCCTCAGTTTGTTTGAGGTGGGCTGTTGACTGACAAAACAATGTATTAGAGAGCAATGCACTGGTGATTCTGATCCCCAGGAATATCATGTATCAACACAAACGTGCTATGGTGTAGCACTTGTGCATGAGCTTGTTCACACTGCTTGAAAATGAGGAAAGAGATACATGGATTCAAGAAAGAACAAAAGGGGATATAAGGGAAGAGACTAATAGAGCATTGCTTGAGAGACAGGCATTAAGGAGGTTTTTAAAAGTAGGGAGATAACTCGATGAAAGGAGCCAGATAAACAATTTTAGAGGACTGGAAAGTAAAGGCTGAAAAAGCAACCAACAATTTTCAAACAAAGGAGTAAGAATTAAAATAAACTTCACATTAGATGAACAAATAATAATCAGGAATGGAAATCAGAAGATCAGTTTTCTAGCTTGAGATCTTGGGATGATTTGGTAATGAGGATACAAGTTTTAAAATCAACACTTTCAGGTCACGGGGAATAAGTGGAGCCTAAAGATGATTGGCAGATCAGGAGTGTTGAAACTAATGCAAACAAGGACATAAACAATGCATTTTGGTTTAGTCAGGAAAGACAAGTAGGAAAACATTGGAGAAGTTAAGGTCTTGTTTAATCAGGCACATTATTTGGTACTACCATTTCTAAAATTCATTTTCAGAATTAGTCCCCGTTGCAGCACATCTCGAGTACTGCTTTGTTCTTGGAGTAAACCTGTTACCACAGGCAGGAATTCCTGATCTACAGCACAGCCAGGAATTCCCACTGATTGTCTGCAACACAAGGCTGGCTTCATTCACTGGCAAAGAGCAGAGCTGTAAAAGTTTCCTGGTGTTTTGGAACAAACTTGTTGGTCCTTTGTCCCAGGCTTACTGGGATGTCATGACAGGAGGCAAAGAGTGCATATACAGTGTGTATTTGCCGATACTATTGAATTTGAGTATGAGAATATTTGACATATGAAAAGATATTTCATGAAATGAAATCACTATTTCTATTAAGACTCTGATAATGAAAACTTGATGCAGTTTAATTCATTTTTAACATCTATCCTAAATTGATTTCAGCAATTAATAAATTAAATGAAGCCATTGTGCAGGAAGCCAATTCATTAACTGTTACTTCCAAGGCCTGCCCCTTTTTGTTTCTACACCCTTCATGAAACAAAACAGTCAAATCTGGTATAGAGACAGTAGGAACTGCAGATGCTGGAGAATCTGAGATAACAAGGTGTAGAGCTGGATGAACACAGCAGGCCAAGCAGCATCAGAGGAGCAGGAAAGCTGATGTTTCGGGCCTAGAGTATCAGAGGAGCAGGAAAGCTGATGTTTCGGACCTAGACCCTTTTAGTCAAATCCGGTGATTGATGCATTTAGTTTATTTGGATAGTCTCTTTGCCACTACGGCCAACATTGCACAGAATCAAAGATCCCATCCTAGAAAGGGAGATCCAAGATACTAATATGACTTCTTATACTTGAGTTGCGTTTCCTGTCATCTGACCATAAGCAATCTTGCTGATGCCTATTCATAACCTACACTTCACTGCTAACACAAAGAAAAATGTGGAGACATCTGCAAAGGAGAAACAGATTTAGAAACAGCATGCATTTTGAATGTAGAGAAGTGGGGAAACAGATTTGCTCCCAAGTGTAACACATTGAGTGTCTCAGAAATTAATTTGTATGCTGCCTTGGAGAACACTGGCTATTTTATTTGAGTCAAAGCCAGGAGACAGAGTCTTTTATACAAAATTTGCTGACACAGATGTCAGTGTAGCGCCAAATTATATCACAACCTTTCTTCAAATGCTTGGATTGGCAGGGTTTTTATGAAATACTCTAAAAATCATTTGGGTTGGTATTGGTCGTGGTGGTATTGGAGAACAGTTGTACATACTTTTGAAAAAGTGTTTAAAGGTTTTGTGAATTACAGCGAGTGGGTAGGGGAAAGAGGAAGGAGGAGCTCTATAAATAAGGGCTTCAAGGGAAAAAAAAGTACTCCTGGCACTGGCAATTGTGCTTTCAGCTGCCTTGATCCTAAAATGTGGAATTTTCCCACTGAACCTCTGACTTCTTTTAAGATTCTCCTTAAAATCTACTCCTTTGATCAAATGTTTTGGTCATTTATCCTGAAACCCCTTCTGTCACTTGTTCTTTTAATATGTATACAATTGGTCTGTTAAGTATTTTGTCATTTAACTGTGTTAAATGGCTGTTGTTCTTGGAGAGAAAGATGCTTTTAGGTGAGCTTGAAGGATGTAATGAATTTACTTAATTTGCCTAATTGATTACGGATCAGTTATTTTGTTAAAATTCCTTTTAAAATACAAAAAAGGAAGTTTGTGGCTATTTCTGAAAGGATGTTTAAAATTAGCCAGAATCCATAATTTAATAAGAATATCATTTTCTTAACTAATGTAAGACCAGGGCAGCAGGTCATTCGTGTGTGTGTGTGTGTGCGTGCGCGCGGTGGGGGTGGGGGTGTTCTGTCAAGGTTTACAAACGGTCACCTTGACATGAAAACTGAGTACAGAACAAGAAGGTATAACAAATTTCAAATGTGGATGAAGCAAAAATGTTGCAAAAGGTCAATCATGAATATGTTATTTTATAACAATTGTCAAACTTTTCCACTGTTTACCTTGTGTTTTTAAAGAAATCTCTTGCTTGCCAATCTGTAATCTAATATTATCTAAAGACCTATTATGGTGTGTTATGTCTGACAACTCATATGCAGTATAGCTTTTGGAGATTTGCTCATGATATCATCGTTTCATAACATGTGACCTGAAAGTATAAAGGTCGCAGTCTCCATCTTAATTGGGGCCACTTGAAGCATGACATACTGTGAAGCGAGCTATTGTTTGCAACCAAATAGCTTAATATTAGCCCAGATCCTGAAGTGCCTCTGACTGTGAGTTGTTCAATCTTTCAGTACTACATTAGCCATATTTAGTTTTCATGTTAGGAAAACTAACATAAGAATTGCTGCATCAGGTACAAATACCCTGTGGGAGGCAAATGCCCACAACCAGGTGTCAGATCATATGGTGCCTGAAATTTGTCACTGGAGAGTGGAGGTAAAAGGTCAGAACACAGAATTGGAACAGCAATAACACAAGATTTCTAAGGAAAATCTTAAAAAAAGGAAATCTCTATGGGCTAAACAGATATTTTAAATAGAGATAGTAGGAACTGCTGATGCTGGAGAATCTGAGATAACAGATTGTAGAGCTGGATGAACACAGCAGGCCAAGCAGCATCAGAGGACCAGGAAAGCTGACGTTTCGGGTCGAGACCCTTCTTCAGAAATGGGGGAGGGGAAGGGGATTCTGAAAAAAGTATGGGGAGAGGGGGAGGCGGATAGAAGATGGATAGAGGAGAAGATAGATGGAGAGGAAACAGACAGGTCAAAGAGGCAGGGATGGAGCCAGTGAAGGTGAACATAGGTGGGGAGTTAGGGAGGGCATAGGTCAGTCCAGGGAGGACGGACAGGTCAAGGAGGCGGGATGAGGTTAGTGGGTAGGAGATGGGGGTGGGGCTTGAGGTGGGAGGAATGGTTAGGGAGGCGGGGACTAGCTGGGCTGGTTTTGGGATGCGGTCAGGGGAGGGTAGATTTTGCGGAACACCTACGCTCAGTTCGCAACAAACAACTACACCTCCCAGTCGCGAACCATTTCAACTCCCCCTCCCACTCCTTGGACGACACGTCCATCCTAGGCCTCCTGCATTGCCACAATGACGCCACCCGAAAGCTGCAGGAACAGCATCTCATATTTCGCTTGGGAACCCTGCAGCCCAAGGGTATCAATGTGGACTTGACAAGCTTCAAAGTCTCCCCTCCCCCTACCACATCCCAAAACCAGCCCAGCTAGTCCCCGCCTCCCTAACCATTCCTCCCACCTCAAGCCCCACCCCCATCTCCTACCCACTAACCTCATCCCACCTCCTTGACCTGTCCGTCCTCCCTGGACCGATCTATCCCCTCCCTAACTCCCCACCTACATTCACCTTCACTGGCTCCAACCCCGCCTCTTTGACCTGCCTGTCTCCTCTCCACCTATCTTCTCCTTTATCCATCTTCTAACCGCCTCCCCCTCTCTCCCTATTTTTTTCAGAATCCCCTTCCCCTCCCCCTCCCCCATTTCTGAAGAAGGGTCTCGACCCAAAACGTCAGCTTTCCTGGTCCTCTGATGCTGCTTGGCCTGCTGTGTTCATCCAGCTCTACACCGTGTTATCTCAGATATTTTAAGTAAAAGCTTTTAGTAGGCTTCTTATGCTTTAAGCAAGAATTGGACAAAACAACCACCAAGAGGGCATAAATTAATTACTTACCCTTGTTTTCCAAGCAACTCATATTCTGGCACTTTAGGTCCGTAAGTCTCTATTTGCAAAGGCTGGTAAACATACAGTGCTTCTTCTATCCTTGGCATTGGCTGTAAGGATATCTGTTGACCCTGTTTATAAGACAATGTAAGTTAAAAGGATTAGTTCTGAAATATAAAAAGAAACAAATAGTGAGTAATACAGTGTGCACCAGAAATATCTGTGTAGCTCCAACATCAATGGACAGTACAGTTATGGATTACTTCACGAAAGTCTGGCAAACCAAAGTCCTTACAAATAATTAGAATCATGGAATCATTGAATCCCTACAGTGTGGAAAGAGGCCATTCAGCCCATCGAGTCTGCACGGACCCTCTGAAGAACATCTCACCCAGACCCAGCACCTACTCTATTCCTGTAACCCAGCATTTAGCATGGCCAATCCACCTTAGCTGCACATCTTTGGACTGTGAAAGGAAACTGGAACACCCAGCTAAAACCCGTGCAGACATGGGGAGAATGTGCAATCTCCACACAGTCACCCAAGGCTGGAATTGAACCTGGCTCCCAAGCACTGTGAGGCAGCAGTGCTAACTGCTGAGCCACCATGCCATCCCATTAATCTTCTTAACACAAACCAGAGGTTACAGCGGAGAAGGGCATAGTGTCCTCTGGACCTGTTTGGTTACTTGCTCTTCAACTGGACCTAACTATTCTAATTCCAAAACAAAAGCAAAAAACACCCTGGTGCATGAAATTTGATATAAAAATAAAATGCTGGAGAAACTCAGCAGATATGGCAATGTCTGTGGAATGAGAAATGTTAACTATTTCTTTCTCAATAGATGTTGCCAGAACTGTGTGGAGTTTCTCCAGCAGTTTTACTTTAATCCCATCCTGATTTCTTTCCATTTTCAATACAACTTATTATCTACTACCTTTCTAATTTAACTTCGTCATGGTACAGTTTTTAAACAATATCAAGAGTCATTTGTGCAACAAGCATTCCAGGCTGCAAGCCTGGAATTAAATTTCCACTTTGTTCTTTGACTGAGAATGTGCCCTCTTCTTATCAATTCTTCGAAAAATGTAAACAATCTTACATTATTTTAATACATTTTCAGAAAGGGTGTGCTATTGATAAATTAATTTCAAGACATAAGTACGGAGATGTGCATTTTGATAGAAAGAATAAGGCATTTCTTGGATAATTAGAATCTGAACAGGGTGGAAGAACAAAGGAAGAAGGCTTACAAACTCACAAATCATTAACACACCTCACAATGCAAGTTAATAAGGTCAATAAAAAATGTAAACAGAGCAATGGGATTTCCTGCTCCCTTTCTGTTCTAAAGGGCTAGAATTGAAAAGCACAAAAGTTAAGTTAAACTTCTTTAGAACCTTGGCTATGCCATATTTGGAATTTCTGTACAACTGTGGTTTCTATATAACAAAAATGAAAAAAGGCACAATGTGAATTCACAAATATGATACCAGAACACAGAGATTAAAAAAAATGATTTGATGAGCTAGATGAACGATGAAAAACTTCAGGGGTGCCCAAACCTATATCTCAAATAAAAGACATTTGCTAATACATCCAATGATGAATTCAGGGCCAACATCTTAACCCAAAGGACGGTAAGAATGTCAGTCACGCTGTTACAAGGAACAGTGAGCCAACGAGCATAAAAGGATTTAATGGTGTTATGACCCAATTATGGACCATTAATACTTAACAAGAAATCAAAACACCTCATTTTAAGCAATCTAATTATCCCATAAGATTCCATGCTTTTAAGCAAAAACACAATATATAAAAGAATTCTGCACAAATAATCTTAATCGGATAAATTATGCCTATTTATGAAATGCATGATAGTTTGACTGCTACTCGAGTGGGAGATCTGAAGCAGTCACCTTCAAAATCCAGACCAGTATCCAGCAAGACTGTGTGATAGCCCCCATGCTATTTATAATCGACTTGATAGTAGTTGTTCATCTCATCAAAATTCAACAGCTCTCTGGTACATGTAATATATACACAGCCTGTATGGAAAATTCTAACCTTAGTCATCTCCATGCTAAAACTAAACTGACCACCACAGACTCATATGATCTACAAAATGCAGATGACTGCAGTGTTGCTGCCCACTCTGCAAACACTCTCAATCTCTCCATTTCTATATGCAAGAAACTCAGCTTGTTCTTGAATGTTGCTAAAACATGACTCATAGCAACCTAGAGATGGTCAAATATTCCACCCTCCAACTATGTTGAGCGCTTCCAATACCTTGACTACTGGCACCAATAAAAGGCTACCATTGATGAGGAAATCCAATAGTGCTTTAGCTACATTAGCACAATATGGCAAGGAAATATTTGACAACAAATACCACCACAGGTCAACAAAAGCAATAGTCACTACTATATTCTTGTAGTGCAGTGGGATCTGTACTGTGTACCAGTAACACAGGAATGCTAGAGAAACTCTATCAGCAATGTATCCAGATTCAACAGTAGGACCATCAAACAAACACATATGTCCTTGTTAAAGCTAATACCACAAGCATTCAGGCACAACGACTGCTAGATGAACTACAATGGAGTGGACACCATGTCCAGATGTTTTAAAAATGTCTCCCCTGCCAGGTTCTGAATTCTCAGTTCTCAAACGACCGGCATATCAGGGAAAGTCAAAGGAAACATGGCATGGACACTCTGAAGATCTCCATAAAGCATGACAACATTGACGCTAATGACTGGGAAGAACTTATTACTAGTTGTTCAAAATAATGACAACTTATCCAAATGCCTTAATGATGTGACAGAGCAGTGGCAGAGGAGAAAAGAAAAAGAAGCAAATCCTGCACTCTAGGTCCTACTACCTCATGTGATACCCCATGTGCCTAAAGATCCTCAGATCAAGAATCAGCCTGTTCAGTGACATGAAGGCACACAGCAGAAACTCTCAACCTCAAGAACCCAACATCCTTGATTCGAGGACCAGCCAATGGTGCTATTATGTACTCAGTTTTTCTACTTAGTTTCTCCAAATATTTGGCTCAAAAGATAGATCAAACTTAAAATGATTTACTTCTGCATGGACCATCATACATATGCCTCCTCTGGAGAGTATTTAATTGTCCTCAACTTCTTATTCTCAGGAGATAAAACTAATTTATTACTTCTGGGCTGTGGATTTATTAGTTCCTTGTTCTGCTTGCCTTCTCGATACTTCCAAATTAATTTAAGGTGATTGTTTTCTTTTGCCACAACATACTTCTTCCACTAGCTTCAAACTTGGTCATCCTCCAGCGTCTGTTCCCTCACAAAATTCAAATTATGATTAAGCCTCACCTGCATTATACTTGGTAATAGAAGAAATTAGTTTGTTGCTCTGCTGACAGCTCAGGTCCAGTCAACTATCATCAACTATCTCCCAGTAAGCTGAGGACCATATAAAGTCAAAATTGCATTTTACTCTTCCTACCAGCACCCAGATAAACTGAAACCAGAGAACCTCCCTAAGCTTCTTCCATCTTCATGCCAATGAAGCATATTCTTCAAACAGACTTTGAGGTTATTTATCACTATTCATAATTTCTTCTTTTATTTGATGAAGTAAATGGATTTTACAACGTTTCAGAGATAACTGAATGTTCTTAAACTAATTTAGCTCCAACTGCCAAAACAACATATCTCTCTGGATTGCCTTTCTTGCAAGGATTACAGACATCATGTCTCCATTTCTTTAGCTGAGTACAAACAACCGCTATTTTGTGAACTTACTTTTAGCTGTTGATCTCTTAAGGTTACATGGTCCCAGCATTGCAAGTGCAACAGATTCCAAGTTTGTCTTAGTTCCATTTATTCCATTTTCAATTTTAATTCTGAATATGGAAATTATTTCCTACAACACATGAACCAGATAATCTCAAAATAGGGGAAGCTAGATAAACATGAAAGGGAAAAAACAGAAATATGTGCGGATATGGTTAGATTAAGTAGGAAGGAGGTTCTCATAAAACTCAAACGCACCATAACTCAGTTGGGCTGCCCATTTTATTACTTAACCTTCATGCTTTTATTAAATCTACTGTAACCTTCCAGTCAAATAAAAACATTTATCTTCATTTACTATAACTCTCAGTAATGCCATCATTATGATATCAATGTATTCAAAGTATATTTGAGTCCAAAGAATTTGAAATACCTCTCAGTTCCTATCTAAGTCAACACAAGGAATAATTATGACTCATGTTTTTTCAATAAATAAAAAACTCTGGAGAAATCAATTTAGAAAGGCACATTAGGCGCAATTAAGTCAGTTGGTTTTATCCAGTAACAATATTGACCTAGAATGTTTTTAACATGCAAGTGGCAGTTTTATATGATACAATACAATACAGGCAGGAACAGGCCCTTTGGCACACCAAGCCTACACCAATTCGTAATCCTTATGTAGACTTTCTGTCTCATAAGGAAATGGTTCGCACTGTGATGGTAAACTCAGTGTTAAGCATCACCTGTTGTGGCTCAGGAGCCCCACTCTGGCAGAACAGTCTCTGTTTCAAGGAACATAGAACAGTACAGCACAGTACAGGCCCTTCCACCCACGATGTTGTGCCAACCTATTCATTTACTGTAGAGGACGATAATGGACTGAGATGATGCCCATTTCACTGATCTATGTTTCCTCAGCCAGCTGAGTTTTTCATTTCTCTTCACCATCTACAAGGCACACGTCAGGAACCTTATGAAATATTTTCCATCTGTCCAGATGGATGCAGATCTAGCAGCACTTAAGAAGCACAACTTCATTCAGATCCAAAGTGTGCTTGATTGACACAGTATCCACCAACTTCAACATTCACTCCTTTTATCACCGATGCACAGTGACAACAGTGAGCACCATCTACAAGATGCACTACATTAACTCACCAAAGCTCCTTTGACAGCATTTTCTAAACCCATGCCCTCTACCACCTGGAAGGACAAGGGCAGAAGACACCGGCCCCGGAGAACATCAACAACAAGTCACACATCATCTTTACTTGGAACTATATTAATGTTCCTTCACCATTGCTGGGTCAAAATCCTGGAACATCATTCCTAACAGTACTGTAGT